TATTCACACATTGAATTTATTGATTTACTGTATCGAATCCATATTACTTATCTGTTTTATTACTTGTGAGGCACTTTTCTCAATTCGGTCCTGGATTTAACATGATGGATGCTCACGTGATCCGGAAAAGGAGATCAAAGGTGCCGACACGAAGTGGACCTACTGGTTATACTGTGATACCTGCGCGAAGACTCAATTTTTCACTGAGTGGACCTACTGGTTATATTGTGGTTATACTGTGTCTCAACTGCTAGTGTGATTACGGCTTAACAGAGAATGCCTCATATATATATACAAACACATATATGTGATGTATTCCGTTTCACGTATAATGCGCATAATATATTTTTTATCCTTATTGTTCACTGAATGTTAAACAAGGATAAAATAATACATCATGCACATCATGTGCGAAACGGAGCACAGTTTTGGATTGGATCACGTTTGCGACGTGCGATACGACCAATACTTTCACACATATCATATCACTTCGATTTGACGTGCATGCTGAACGCGTGATAAGAGAAAAAATTGTTGAAAAATTGTAAATGAGCCGTAAGTATTATTATATTTATATTTATTAAATTATTATCTAATACAATTTTAATAAAATTTATTTATTAGAAAAAATGGTTTCGATGCGCAACTTATTATTTCTTTATATTTATAGAAAATATAATGTATTCCTAACCTATACATAGTTATTTTCTTAATTAAATAATTTTTTCAGTAAGATATAATTATGTTTATTCTAATTTTTTCTAGAATTAGTTTCAAAATGCCGAAAGAGAAAAGATTAAGAAATTACATGCAGAATATAGATCAAAGGATCAAAATAATAAATACCAAAACAGCATTGGCATCTACATCACAGCAATTTAATATTCCAAAAAGTACTTTACATTCTAAGTTTAATAATATATCTTCTCTGAATGGCAAACCTGGACCGCCCTCTATTTTATCCGAAGAAGAAGAAAATTTTATAAAACGATGGATTTTCTTTTGTTATAATCGAGGATTTCCAGTGAAAAAAGATCAACTTTTGGACTGTGTGCAAGAATATATAATCAAATTAAATAAGAAAAATCCTTTCACAAATAATAGACCAGGACGAAGTTGGTACAATGGTTTTTGTCTACGACATCCAGAACTTGCAACAAAAATGGCCCAGAATCTATCAAAATATCGTGCTGATGTAACAGAGGAAAAATTACGTGAATGGTTTAATAATGAACTCAAAACTTTCTTAGAGCAAAAAGAGCTTATTGATATTGAGCCTTCTCGAGTATTTAGTCTTGATGAAAGTGCATTTTTTTTGTCTCCAAAAACAGATCATGTTTTAGTAAGAAAAGGTTCCAAATCCATGTATAAAATAGCAGACAGGGATGAAAATGAGAGTCTAACTGTCTTGCTCACAATGAATGCCGCTGGAATTATGGCACCTCCGATGATTTTGTTCTGGTATCAGAAGCCATCCGATAATGTTATCAGTAAAATTCCTCAAGATTGGAGTGTCGGAACGACAGAAAAAGGATGGATGACCAGTGAATCTTTCTGTGAATATATAACCAACGTTTTCCATCCTTGGCTTGTAAAAAATGCTATTCAATTTCCAGTATTACTTTATATAAATAGCCATTCGCCACACATTACACCATCATTGTTTACATTCTGTCTTGAGAACAAAATAGAGTTAATCTCTCTTTTTCCAAATGCAACACATATATTGCAGCCACTGGATGCAGTATTTAATTCATTGAAACAATCTTGGAAATCTAAAAATGATCAATGGAAAATTCACACTGCTTCACGTTTGAAAAAAGAAGATTTTGCACAACTTCTTGAAAAAGCAATTGAAAATATAAACTTAACTGAAATTGTGAAAAAAGGATTTAGAACTTGTGGACTGCTACCTTTTTGTTCAGATGCTGTTAATTATAGCATTTTAAATAAGAATAAACGAATGAAATTATATGAGTCTACGGACGAATGTATCGAATCAGCTGAACATTGTGCTAATCAGAAAGAAGATGAATATAAAAAATTTCTTGAGATGTTTGAAGAACAATTGAGCAAGAAAGTATTACGAGATTTTCAAAATGCTGCTTTTAATAATATTACCGTCAGTGACATAAGAAATCATGGATTATTTAATATGTGGTTAAAAATAAAAAAACAATGCGGTAATTTAGAAAGTTAATTTAGACAATTTTTTTCTCAAAAAAATATTTAACAAATTATATTTATTTTTTATTATATTTTTTACAGCATTATGATTAAATCTTTTTTCAATTTCAGTTATAGTTTAACAACAATTAGACTAATAATTCTTATAATAATTTTATAAAATGTATAAGTTACAAGTTCTTTTTTCATAGATTTCTGAATGGCTTTAAATGTACTTAATTGTATACAGGAAAATAAAATGATATTCACAAGAATCTTCAAATAAACAAATAATTTTTATTATAAATAATAAAAATATCTTGACTTTTATGCAAGAAAATGAGATACATTTTTTACAATATTCATCAGCTATAAATATAGTAAATGATTGTGAAAATGTTTAATTTGAACAAAATAATGAAAATATTGTCAAACAATAAACTATAAATATAATAAAGAATAATATTACCTATGCCAATGTTTTTCATGGGTAAGTTTTTTATAAGAAACATTACTTATTTAGTAAATTATCTTTATAAATAATTAAATTATTTTTCTAGAGAATTAAAATGTACGTGATTATTCATTGTGATGACAACAATGTTCATGATATAAACGATAACAATCGTCATAATATGAATTATTTTAGAAATATGAATATGAATCTGCAATTAAGGTTTCTTAATTATGTATGTTACATTATAATATAACAGTTTATTCTTATATTATCTATATATATTGTATTTATATAAAAATTTTAGACAAAAATCAGACGAGATTTAAGAAGCAGAATTCTACCATTATTTAAAAATACGTTTTTAACCGAAATCTATAAAGGACAAAAAAAATTTCCAAAGAAAAAATTCCTGTAATGTTGCAATTTCTATTAAGTGACAAAAGTATTAGTGAAAGGCTATCACAAATATTTGACACATTTTTCTTTCTTTTTTATTTGAATGTAAGCTTTTTATACCTTGAGCTGGCTAACAAATTTTTAGTGTTTAACAATTAACTTTAAAGTTTTTTTTTATTGTATCTGTTACAGACCGTTGTTACATCGAACAGTTTTTTGGTTACACAACAATATTTTTTAAACTTTCATTTTCATTCGCACTCAATACTTTCTCGCCACTGAACGACGAATTTATATATGTTATTTTAATTTGGTGATCAACTTCAATTTTTGTTATACATATTTTGAACTTCAAGAAAATTGTGTCACATATGTATATAGTTTGATATTACCTTTCTGTTTTTTTTTTTATAATGTTTCTGTTTATTTTTTATTAATTACTTAATTGGAATTTATGATTTAATTTCAATACCTTCTCAATTATATTAAATTTATCAGCTGATGAAGACTGAAGTAGAAACGTCATATTTTTTTATCGCTTATATTAAAACAAATTTATTACAACTTTTTATTTTGTTCGTCTCTTTTAATTCCCTTCTGTCTCTTTTACTTAGCTTGACTTTTAATTGTTGGTAAGAATATTATAATATAAGAAATTCCAGAAAAAAAGGGAGACACAAAATAAAGGAAAAGAATTAAGCACAATATATGGTTGTGGTTAATTGAATATGATCAAACAACACTCTTTTAAAACTCAACATGCTTGCACATTCCACACATATATTATCGACATATAGAGTTGGGAAAACGTACGTTATCTTAAAACAAGCAACACGTTATCGTTACCGTTATTTTTTGTAAAAAGTAACTCGTTATCGCTATCGTTATTGATTTTTAAAAAATTACGCATTATCATTATATACTAGCTGTTACTTGAAATGTAATAACGCATTATTTATTTTTTTAAGTTAACGTATATTTTCCCAACCCTGTAATAATATATGTATGGAATGTGCAAGCACGTTTTAAAATAAATGAATATCATTATATTCGTAATACTAAAATAAGTTTAATTAGATTTTAAATTTTTATTATTTAATATGATTTATCATTAAATGTAATAATAAATATTAAAACAAATGAAACTCATCTTTAAACTAGTCTGTATATAAAGCAATTGTATTTCTTTGTATTACTTATTGTTATAGAAAAATTAGATGAAATTTATTTATAATTGTTTATTAAACATTTAATATCGTTATTAAAAGTGCATTCCAATATTTACTGTAGTACTAAAAATCTATGATATACATGTAATGTAAATATATAGATTTTCAATACTGATAGTGACTACCGGAATGTAGCCTAACAAATTGTATACAAAATAATTTAAAAAAAATTAATTAAAAATATATTATAAAATAAGAAAGTAAAAAGATAAAATAAATTAATTAGTAACAACAAATTCGTTAGCGTACTGTAAAAATGTAACGACGTTAATATTACCGTTACAGATAGAAAAAAACAACAATCATTATTGGAAAAAAGTAACAAAAACGGTAACAGTCTCAAATACAAAAAGTTCAAAAAGAACTTGCAATCAGTCATGTATACATGTCATCAATAATTCAAAAAAAGAATTATATTCGTATATTCAATCGTATGTCATCAATTCTGAGTTCATTTTTAGATGCAAAAAGAATAATTCTTTTTCTAAAAATTCTGAAAAAGAATTCTTTTTGCACTTAAAAATAAACTCAGAATTGATGACATACGATTGAATATACGAATGAATTATTTTTTTTAACTCAGCTCTGTGCCATCTGGAGGCGTTACAAGTAACGTGTTACTTTTCAATTAACTCAGTCTGCATATTAAATATATAAAATAACGATAAAAGTAACGATTATATATATTCATTACCGTTGTCCAAAAACTGTAACTAATGCGTTACATACTACTGTTACAAACAAGAAAATGTAACATTGTTACTCATACTCATTCAGAAAAAATTAATTTTAACGTAACGACGTTGCAAAAGTAACGTGTTATTTCTGAATTATATGACAACAATCCATCATTTCATTAAAAAAAAAATTTCATGTGAAAAATTGACTTTTTCAAAATTTTATTTTATCGTAATTATTTGTCTAAATTACATCACTTTTGTCAGAAATATTTTTTGCCTGTCAGAATCAGTTTTTGAGATATTAGATTGGACTGCACGTTTAAAATAAGACATCCTGTATATGTTAAACGTTACCATAGTAAAATATATATATAATTTATCGCATAGATACCCTTTATATTGAATAGGCCTATAGGGGCTATAGATAGTTGATAGATAAACAACGTAAATCTTTCGGGACAAAATTGTATGTACGCACTTATATAGGTACATACGTATAAGCTTTCGAAAGTTATAAAATCGAGTGGATCATGCGGCTAATCTCGATTGATACAGATTTCGAATATGTAATACAAAAGTCGGAACCGCAAAAAATATGCTTTGGTTCCGGACAGTCGCGCGATACTTCTCGGAAAGGTATGAGTTCCTTCATGAGGTACTATACCGCGGAAGATTATTCCAACATAGGACCCGGTTCTTACGACGTTTTGAAATCTTTCAACGCCATTAAAACCAGGGTATACAAATTACTTTTATATCAGATTATCATTTTAATATTATAGTTTTAAGTGCATAAATTTAAGTTACGTTCGCCTACATGACTTCTGTCGATATATAGCCGTGCTGTTATAGTATTAGCAAAAGGGGTTACAGCGGTCTTGCACGATTTGCCCAACCTGTCGCTTACACAAAAGATTATACATCATCCGATTATGTTTCTGCTGTTCCTGAGCACATTAAAGCGCAGAAATATCCGTTCATGTCCACCAGCAAGAGAAGAATCTTCGATATTAACAAAAATCCAGGGTTATACTTTAAAGTGTTTTGCGTATTATATATATAATAGCGAAATATTTCACGAAAAGTAAAGATATAATATCAATCGCTTTAGGCCCGGAACATACAATGTTCTTAAGGATCAGATAAAAGGTATTACGTTTGAACATAGTTTTGGTGGTAAAGTTAAAATGCAACTCGGTGTCGATTTCAAGTGTTGCAATCGCAACACAAATATTTGCAAGATGTGCGGCAAAACACCAACTGAAGATTACTGGCATTTAAATAATAAAATCTTCTTATGTAAAAGTTGCATGACAAGAGAATTTCAAGAACAAACGAAATTTAAAAAGAAGAAACTTGAATTATTTCGTGTAAGCTTTTTTAAATATTATATTAGTTATTTATAGTTATTTAATTGCTCCCCTTCTTTCTCTCTTTCTCTGAACATGTGCGTGTGCGCGCGCGCGCGCGTGTGTGTCCACACAAAATAATAAAAAATTTCTAACAATTTGTCAGCAAATTCGAAAATATATTGCGGCAAATTGATGTCAACTATACTCAGATTAAGCGGCTCGTTCACGCTGTTTTATCGCAAGATATAATTTCATTTTGCAAAGTTATATTCTACTTAGTTATTCTACTAGTAAAGTTATTCTACTAGCAAATTCAATTTAGAATATTATAACAAAAATATAACAATAAAAAACAATGATCGCTAATTATTGTCAGCAGAAACTGACAATAGAATTTACCATTTAAGCGATACATCGCCATTTAAATCATTATAAAATGGTAGGTTTTGCTCAGTTTTTACAATCAATCAGCTGTCTTATTGTTACATTTTTGCTAGCACTTTGTTGACAAAATAGATACTTTGCAAAATATCTTGACATTTTAAGTATCTGAATATTATATGTAATATATGTTACATATATATGTAGACAGAAAAATAGAAATGATTAATTATATGATTTCAGAAAATAAGAACATGCTCAAATATTCACATTCATGAAGGCACGAATGCAAAGATATGGCTGATGCCTCCCGCTGCAATCAAACAATGGACAAGAAGAGAAACATATCTCTCAGCTTACTTGAAAGATTAAAACAGATTCCATAATATATAATTTTTCAATTTTAAATACATGATTTTTTTATTCAATACTATTCCCCTGCCATTCTCCTTTACATGAAAAAAATTGTTATACAGATTGATTTTATTTTATTCATAATATTTATACATTGCATTTTTGTAAATTTTATATTTAGGCACTATATATACAAAGATTATATAAAAATATGCGTACATTATATATGTATAGTAAATATTTCAAATAATATATATAGTAGTTTCGTTAAATATCCGGAATAATAAAATTCCCGACACATCAATATTTATCTTACATATATATTATTACGTATACACGGTTATCAGTCAACAGAATTTCGAGTTAGTTCGGAATGAGATTATATTTTCTTCAATGAAAAAAGTATACATTTTATAATAAATAAACTTTAAATATTAATATATTAATTAAAATAAGCACCAGTTTATTTAAATATATTTTAGTTTCAAATAGTTAAAATGTTCATTACATTAAATATAAAGTTCTCAAACGGAAAATATAAAATTTTTTCAATGAAAAACTGATTAAATTATTTTTAATAATAACATTAATATTCATTTTCGCTCAGAATTTTCACCAGCTTGGTATAATTGTAAAAAAACCTGTGCCATATCATAAAAACAATGTACTTATAAATATATATAGTTCTTTTTAATCCTAATCTAATTTATTACAAATCTCGTAAATATTCAAGAGTATTTAGCTGTCTGCTGATATATCTTGGGTATCATTTTGCCAATTTGCTACTACCGACGTCTTGACTTCTTCCACGGGATTTCCACCCTCGGGCGCTTGTCTCGACACTCCAGGAACAGATAATTCAGACGCGGAATAATCCTTCGCTTCAACCCTGACTTGCTGTAACGACGACTTGTCGAATGACACAACAGCGGTCGATTCCGTGTTATTATCTGACGTTAAATCATTCTCGCTAGATTTATAGATGACGGTCATATCAATACTACTGTCGACATTTTCCGACACGTCCGAAGATGTCAAGCCGAAAAATTCCTTTTTCTTATCACACTCTAAAATAATCGTCCTATCTTTCGATTGCGCATCATTTTGAAGTAGAATATTGTTCTCTCTCAAAAAATTGATATTACTGTTGTGCACTGCTATGTCAAAGCTTCTCGTGTATCGATTATCTAGTTGCTCCACGGCTTCTCCTTCCGGCGATACGGCAGCTGCAACTTGCAAATCTGGTATCAAATGCTGATACAAAAGCGGATTAAATATATTATCCAGATCCATGTGACGTACGTTAGAAGTTATCAAATAAGTCGTCAATTCGTCACAATTCGTGCTGTCGTTATTTTCCTCTGCGACCAGTTCTTCGCGTATCACCGTCGATATTCTATTAGGAGGCGATTCGACGGAAATGCTTTCCTCAACGGTCGTTTTAGAGGTGATGAAATTTGTGTAAGAGTGCGCAAGTTGCTCCTCATCAGTCTGAGTGAGCACCGTGCAGGTGTTAACGTTACGACCGTTTTTGTTCTTGTCTTGTGAGTTACTTCTATGCTCTCGGTCTCGTAAACTCGCGAATAACTCTAGAATGTTTTTTCTTATCGGTACGGCCGTTTCTGCGGACGATTTGGGCGGCAGGTCCAAAGAGAGCTTATCGAGCAGATGATTTATATGTGTTTTGGTACCTCGCACGGGATATTCCGTATTATTGTCCGATAAATAATTAAACGTCGATCTATTTTGATACTGATTGTGATAATAATCAGGATGTTGACTCAAACGTATATTAGAGCTTGAACAATATCCAGTGTCGGTCGCTTCGGAACTTACAGCCTTACTTTTGTTGGACGTTGATTCAAAATGCAGATTGCAATTGCTTACGGAAGAGGTTTGCTTCTCGTTACTTATGATGTTTTGATCGTTCGGTATCTCATATTGCTTCGACATTTGTGATGTCTCATTGTCAGAACATTCAGAAACTGCGGATTGTGGATAATGTGCAATCTCAATGTTTCTATCGTTAGTATTTTCATTGTCAACGTTCGGCTCAATTACGTCAAAATCATTGTCAAATTCATCTTCAAAAGCTGTGCTTGTGACATCGCGTAGACGTGACTGCAGACGTTGCGTGATCTCGTCTAATTCAGTTAATTTTTGCCTATAACATACGTCAATCAAAATTAAATCTGTGCGAAAAGTAGCAAAATTATCACGAATAAAATAATTATAAAAATTTTGAATTACTCACTTTAGGGACGACGATAAGAAAGACATAGAAACGTCTTCTAAATTATGACCTACATCTGTATTTGATTTATAATCATTTTGTACATGTTTGTCATTATTTTGACTTGCGTGTGATAATGTTTGATGCGCACCATTTAACTCTGCATCAACGTAAGGTGCGTACAGAGGTGGCCAGTTTGTCTGTGATAAATTGTTGCTTCTTGATAAAATAGTAGCGTTAGTTGGTACAAGTTTTCCTAATGATGACACATTATCCAAAGGCGTTATATTTATCTGAAATAAAAAATAATAATTTTGTATATACATATGTATGGTGTGTAGGGTAAAGGAAGTGCGATTGTTTTTTTTATTAAGAGATCACACCATCCTTGAGACAAAATAATACCTAAATTTGGAATTTTTTTGGGTAAATAGGTGACTTTACTTAAAAGCTGCTTAGAGGACATTTTACATATATAAGAAACTAAAAACAAAATTTTTATTTTTTATGTACAAAATAGTGACTTTCTGTTTTTTCAAATCGGTGATTCAACAGGATTCCAGACACGCGGTTTGATCTTGAAAACACAAAAAATTTTTATTATCTACATATTAAAGACTAGAGAAGTACGTAAGGGTTTTTTAAAATATAGATCGGAAGAGCA